ATATTTTTTTTTACCTAGAAGTTGTTTTTAAACTGATTATAATAACTATAAGAAGTATAGCAAATTTATGTCACTATTTATTTTCTCCTGGATAAAATATGCATTTATTTAGGAAGAAATTTAAATTAAGTAAAAGAAAAAAATAATATTTTTAATTTTTAAAAGCATGCTTAAAATAAAAACATAAAAGTTCTAGCATTTTTTCACTTATTATGCCATAAATTTGTAAGTGCATTCTTTGGAGAAATAGCTTTCAGAAGACAAATGTACCCATATTTATATGGAACTTGACACATTGGTCAAATATTTAACCTGATTTAACATTTAATCAATACAAGATTTTTTAATTATAGCAAATTATAAAATCATACAATTTTTAATTTTATCTTAGTATTCTCAACAATCTTACAGCTTAATATTCTCACAGGCATTTTCATTTAAAAGCTAAGATTAAAATAAGTGATTTAAAATAGCTATTTTGTTCTGACACCATAAAATAAACAGAACTTTATTTTTATAAGATTTATTTAACAACCACATAGTTAATAGAAGCATTTTATTACATCAGCATTGATATATACAACAACAGACTTCATGGCAAAGGTGTGTGTTTCAAAATAGGCGGCAATCTTGAAATTCATAATGTTGAATAACTACAAACGTACATTTATTTTAATCAATATAAACCCTATAACATAAAAATTTAAAAAGGTTTGAACCTTTAACAAAAATCTCTGTTTCATTTGGTAATTGATTTTCCATACTGAAAAACTCATTTTTAATGCAAATAACGTTTCTTCTGACTTTGCCCATGCTGCTACCATATCTGATTACTTCTATTCAGAGTGGGTTATTTTCTAAAGGAGGGTTTGCAAGCTGAGTGTGTGTGTATAAATGTATTGCAAAGGTTTTAAGGGCAAAAATAGTGTACACATTAAAATGAAGCAAATTTTTCTTCTTCTCTAAAATAATTCACTTTCTTATTTCAAAACTTAAAGCCTGGTCAAAATTTGGATTAATCACTGAAACAAAATAACAAAACAATTATTTACATCGAGACTTAATTTCTTTTTATTATTATCTTTTTAAACTAATGCAACAACATGTGCTCTGTATCTTTATTTCAATTAAGATTTCTCTCTTTATTAGATCTTAGTTATCTAGAGAAGTCAGGTCGTCTTCTCCACTCACCTGTTTACACAAAGGTTTTTCACTTCGACTTGCAATTTCGTATTTCCATATAAAATTCGAGAAAGGGTGGAGAAATATAACTACAGAAATAATCTGAAAATTTCAAAACACGGATTTTTCATTATCCTCCAGAATAGAAGATATCATCCAAGGAGTGCTCAAAATCAAAATCAGGTGGCCCTTTCAAAAGTAGAATGTGATGAGCGCTTTTACATTTCACAGATAAACGTTTCTAAGAGCTTAATGTTTCCTCCGCTTATTGCCACTGTGCCATCCGGCTTTTGTAACTGATGTCCTACCTCTTTGAGGCAGCAGAGGGCGTTCTGGCATTGTTGACACCGGATACCTCTCGGTGCACCGCGCTAGCATCTTGTTCCCAGGAAGGAAATATACTATTTCCCTGGAGGGTTGTCCTTGAGTATCTCAACGGGTCAAGCTGTTCCTAAATTATTCCGAGAAGCTTTAATTTCAGACCTAGATGAAAGTTGAGATTGTCAAAGGACTCCCACGGCACGCCGCACCGAAGTTCTCCAATTGCGAAGCCTGGGTTGTTTTATTGCAAAACTGCCGCACATAGAATTTCTTTCATAGCAGGAAAATTTGTAATGGGCATCAAACTGGATGATTATTTTCCAAGGAAATAGAAAGTACATAGTTTTAAAAATCTAGAAACATCACAGATCAATAGCCATTCGGTTTCATCTAGGCAACCGAATTACTACATTGTTTCCCTTTTTAAGCAGTATTTTAACCTCTCTCATATCACATATTTCATTTCTATTTAGAAAGTAATTTTAAACTGATCAAGCCTTCTGAAGGACGAGTTTAGATTTTCCTAAACAGGTAGGATTAGGCTGAGAGGATTAGGTTTGCTCCTGTGAGGTAGTATGAACTCTAACGGAATCAGGCAGGACGATTTTGCAGCCCTGGACCAGCTTTGCGGATTACGCAAGATGTGGATGCAGGAGATCAGCGCAATTGGATGAATACTGGAAGGAAAGCAAGGCCGCCATGATAACGTGTAATGCTTTAAATTCATTTCCGCTTCCAACGACTGCTTTTAATTGGCACAAGAGGAATATTCCCAACCCTTTAATTTTGTAATTCGAGCAGCCCCTATTTTCCAGTGTGCTTTACCTACCCAGTCCCAAATTGGATAAAATTAAATATAAACCAAAGTAATCGATGAATGTGAAAGACCTGACTTGCAGAGTTCTAAAATTTGAGGACAAATAAAATCCGTCCTGAGGCACGGGGTGAGAAGGCAGCTCTCTGAGGATACTGCACCTGGCCACTTTATTTCATGAATTTTAAGATATATTTATGTCCCGTGTAAAAAAAAAATAACTGAATGAACACCTATCTTTTAGATCATTGTCAATGCATGGCCCATTGTTATACCTGGATTAAAATCGGTGTTGCTGCCGCTATTGTCCAACCTGAATTATTTTGTCTGTTACTAATTTTAACAGCTTTTATATTTGTGAATTTATAGACAAACTTAAGCAAATGTATAGAAATTTCTTTTAAGAAATAGCCAGCCAGGCTGGCTACGAATTAGTAGATTTTCCGTCTCTCTCTCTCCCTTGCCATTTTGATTCATTACTTAGGGAATTTAAATTTGTATTGTTGGTATTAATATTTTCAATATCTAAGAACGATGAAATATGCTAAGAAATTTAGATTTTTTTAAAATATATCAATACTGACCCATCCAACCTTCGAGTCCTAAGGCGAATTTTCATTGCATAGGATTTAGTAAACTGCCCTGCCTCTTTCCGTCGCGGGAGCTATGAGGATGCGGCTGTGGTCGGTTTTTCCGCAGTGCGGGTTTCAGGCCTCCTGGCCCTCCAGTGCCTCCCGCCGGCAAGGATGAGCCGAGCAGGCTCCTGCGCACCGGAGCGGTCTGCAGAGCTCAGCCATCTGTACCCGTCTACTAAGGCTGCCCAGTTACCAAACCTGAACGAAAGTGGCAGCCTGCGAGGGTTCCTGCCCTGTTTCACCTGGTGGGTCCCCGACCCACCCCTTTCTAGTTAAGCCTCGAGGCCCACACTTGAGTCCATTGCACGTCCCTTTGGTGACCAAGTCAGCACTAAAATCCGCGGCTGACAACCTTATGTTTCTGTTTTAAGGAAGATGACTTAAGAAAGAAAATGATAATAATAAAGCCTTCATTCTCCTCAATTTCCTTCTTGCAATCCTGCTCACTGAAGGATTTACGTTTCAGCCTAAAGTGGAAATTGTTTCCCCATATACGTATACTGAATGTATGTGTGCATTCCTACGTGAAGACCAAAAAGTATCAGGCAAGGGTAGCAACAGCTTGAGGGAACGATTTCAGTAAAATATTGTTTTGCTGTATGTGGCCTTTCTCTCTTTTTAAATGTTATTTTTCAAATTACCTAATATCTTACTCTTCTTTTGAGTAGGGACCGGACGGTCCTATTGCTTTTCCAGTTTGATTACGGAGAGAGAAAAGGGTCACGGTCAGCACCGCGGACAGCGCCAGGCAAGGAGGGCGCGGCTACTTTGGTGCATCCTCTTAGCCCCTGTCCTTTGTTCCCAGCCCCTGCAGGCCAAGGCAGAACAAAGACATCAAGGCTTGCTTTTTCGGCCTGGGCTTTTCTTTGGCTCCAAAGTCGTGGTGTGGAACTACTACCTCAACATAGTCCACCTCACTGGCTTCCAAATAAATTAATTTACCTAGTCCTTCTAAAGTTTCTGACCTGATCCTTTCCCCTTATCCCACTCCTTTGGCCGATTTGGACATTACGACAATGCCAAAACAAGAGAGTTATCTTGGCCTTTTAAAGCCAAGCATGGACGCCTCGAGATTGGGAAGAGAAAGGGAGAAGTCAAGGGGAAATGCGGGCGGCAGGTGTTCTTCAGATCTTTCCAAAGTTTGGACCTTTCATTTGCGGTTTCTTGCGCAGTGTGGTCAGGACCCTGTTAAATGTTACACCTCTCTCTTCCGTTTTGTTTTCCCAGCTTGGCCCAGGACTGCAGACAATCACACTCCCTGTTCTTAAAAGAACCAGTGCTTTCTAAACGCTTTAACTCTCTGGAATATTTGCACGGACGGGAACTACTGCTCTCCTGACAGCTGTCAATGAAGCTTCCCTAAAATTCTCCTCGGAGATTTGCCTGCGGATTTCCGCGGCTCTAATGGAAAAGTAAGAGCCTTTCCCTTTCGAACACTAGTTTGCTTCGAGAATCAGTCCGGGGTGGGGGTAGGGGGACATTTATGCGGCAAGGGATGGGTTCATCCTACCACCCCCTAAATTCCTTGCAATTGCCTTTTCCCCTTTCTGACCCTGAGATGCTTTGGTGTCTTTCAAGTGCAGCCGTAGGCTCCGCTCTTGGCATTCACCGCGTGCCTTAATTGTATGACATTAAATCAAGGTCCGCTGTGAACACGGAGGGCAGAGCCTCTGATCTTGAT